GGCAGGGCATGGATGGTTCTGGTGTGGCTTGGGGTGTTTTTGGATTCTTCTCGAGTAGCCCACATGTTTAAATGCGATAGCCAAAACTGAGTGGCAGCCACATGGGGTGACAAACAGGGTTATTTCTTAAATTTTGCAATGATACTGCAGTTTGCACACCCTCTTGAGAGGTTTGCCTCTTTTGCAGTCAGTTATTCCTTTCTAAATACAGTGTTTTGAACCTGTCCATTGAGCTGCAAATCTCAGTCTTGTGGAGTGGCTTGAGCAGGTCTTCTGCAGTTGGAATTCTAACTCTGTCTTCCAGAGTCTTTGGGACTTTACCTGCAGATTTAGTAAGTGAAATCTATATTCAGTCGACGAACGCCAATGAAAATATTAAATAAAGCCAGGCCAAAGACAGACCCGGAGGGTTTAAACCTGATATAACTTTCCAGTCAGGTAGTGAATCACTGATTTATCAAGTACAGTTTTCCATCCACTTCTGTTCCAGCCTTGTGCTCACTTTACACAGTGTGTAATGTGTTTGTGAACAAATGTGGGGAATGATGTCTATAGCCTTACTAAACCAAGACCTTACAAGCTCCAAAACCAGCTTTAGAGAATAGGGAAGCCAAGCTTAAAACATGGAAATTCAGCCGCTTCTTTCAATCCCTTCTGGAAATACATCCGCTGAACCTGTCAATAGCTAGACTTCCTTCATTTCATGATAATATTCAACCTCTGCCTGTCATTTAGGACTGTCTTGGTTATTTTTGTGTGACCTTGGGATGCTTTCATGACTGGAAATCCCAGTCACTTCCCAGAAGCACATGGCGATAGTATAAACTAGCATTGATTGTAAAATCGATGCATTAATTTGTGTAGTTATACTTAATATTCAGCAGCTGTATAGAAGTTTTTAAGCATAAAAATGTTATTAATAGGTTGTTGATTTGCAGTAACAGTATACCTGGATCCTGAATAACATTTTGTGAAACTGGGATCCAGTCACAGCTCTTTGTTCCTATGAACGTAGTGCTCTGTAGCACATACACTAATATTTTGCTCTATCGTTGAGTCCTGAAAAAACACGGGCTGTTTGTGGAAGACCTGTATTTAAATAATTTGGATTAATAATTCCCCATCAGAATTGGAAGTCACATGGGTGGTGAAATGCTCGCTCCGTTAAGCCATGCATGCGCTACTCCGAGTCCGGATTTCACTTGAACAGCTGTGTTTTTAACTGCAGTGTATCTGTGTGTTTTTCCAAAAGGGGAAATCCATGGGGGAAGTCTTTCACTAATTATGTTGTTATTACTCCATAATCTCTCCGTTTTCTACTAACATCACTGTTACTGTGTGGTGTCTGGCACATGGAGAAAGATCTGTGGAATGTGGACAAAAGTTTTAAAAAGGTGTTTTCTAGTAAAAAAAAATACCTTGGAAAGAGGGATTGATATTAGCTGGAGATAATATTGGAAAAGAGGCTTTATGAAGGCCTTTATAGTAAAATGCTGCATGCTGGTTCCTGAGCAGATGGCAGCCTTCTAACAGAAAGCCTAATCAGGTTACTCTGCTTTTCATTTTATGATGTTTTTATAACCTAGAATTATGTATTTACTGTGTAATCTGGTAGACTAATAACCTAACAAATATCTAACTTCTGGGAATTACTCACTTATAGAGTAGTTATCGGTATTTTCACATAAAAAATATTGTTGATGAAAGTCCACCTATGTAAGGTAGTGCAGCTTGTTTGCAGCATTTTAATAAATGATGCAGTTTTCAATGCAGGAGAAAATTATTTAACTCCAAAAACTTTGTCTTAAATGCCTTAATAATGAAACCTCCTTTGGAAAATCCTTTTTACTTCTAAAGGCCTGATTGATTTTCCACTGATCTTAAAACAATTTCCGTAAGCTTGAGATCAAATTTTGAGATTATTTGCACCAGATTTTTGGGGTTTTTTTACAGTATTTGGACAATTCAGAAGGCTGCGGTTAAAAATCTGAGTGTATCTGAGTGCTAAATTCTGGCTGCAGTGAGTAGAAGTGATGAAAACCTCATTAGGTGCCTGTTTACGTGTTCAGGTACTTAGGAGAACTAGGTAAATAAAAATGACTGATCTCCATCATTTCTGCCTTTTCCTGGCCTGTCAGACCATAGTCTTTGGCTAGGCAGCACGTCATAAACACAGCTCGTAGTTTCAAAGGCTCGACTCACCTTTGCTTTCAGATCTATCTGTTGTTGACACTGGCTGCTTTTGTGGCAAAGGTGTTGCTGAGGTGCTTGTAGGACCTCATAATACCCAATCCACCACTCTAACCGCTTACTACTCGCGGCCGTGTACGTTGCTGTTTGTATACTGGCTGCTCTTCCTGAAGGCTTCTGCTGAGCTCCAAGAAATTTTAAAAATTCTTCTATGAAAATGTATGATTTAAACTGCTCCTTTCCCTATGTTTAAGGAATCCCAAAGGATCAGTCTGCTTCATTTACTTGCTGGTTGCTCCTGTCTTGAAAATGTTAGATTGAGTGAAGTTCGATATTGCTTTAAAAAAGCAATATTTATATTTTTCATGAATTCTGTGCTGGGTATGAATTACTGACAGGTCCGCTCCATCTGCTGCAGTCATCTTCCTCAAATATGCTGGTAAAGTGAGCAGCCGGGAATCAGATTTTCCTTGAACCATTGGAGTGGTGCTGTCATAATTTAAAAGTTATATCAGACAATAAAAACAAACAATAAACCCAGGAAAACATGTTAAGCCAATTTTAGGGTGCTCTGTGCAGCTGTTGTGTGACCCGGTAAGGGCTGGAGCATGAATCTTCAGATGGTTTAGAAACAGTGGAATTAATGAGTCCTTAAAATGAGACTAATTGATTTTCCTGATGCACAAGATTCATCCTTGATCTAAATAAAGCTCTCGGTCTGCAGCCTGTGAGGGCCCGTGTCTTGTTCTATACCTGTCTTCAGTGAATGAAACCTAAATATTCTATTTTTCAGAGAACTATTAAGATATCAATAACTCATTTTGGGGTTTTTAATTTAACATTACTTTGACTATATAATTGATGACTGCAAAGAGTTGTCTTCAGCAGTTGCCTTGTCTTCCGAGTAGTTTTTTCTATGAAAATTAATGTCAAACTTCTTGCACTACTTTGAACTTTAGTTTATAATGTTTAGCACTTTTGTAATGATCTTTTTGGTTCAAATATGCTTCATTTAATCTTGAAAATTTACTTAGATTTCACTCAGAAATGTTACATTTCACTCACACTCCAATAAATGTGTGTTATACATTAAAAAACTTAATTTTTAACAATTTTCTTAATAAATAGATTTTAATTCCCTTTGCTCCTGATTAATATGTAATGAGGATAATGGTTTAAATTTCAAAATTTTCAGCCAATTTAATACAGATAGGAACAGTATGCATCTCGCCAGTATTCAAGGATCACCTTTAAAACTAGGGGTGCATTTGGAGCTGGAATCAAAGCAGCCTGAAATATATTTCAGTATTTTCAAAGAATCTTCCTAATGCTGCTTTCTTTAGAACTAGCGTAGAAATAAATGTGAATGTCATTGTCTTTTAATATTCAATTATTAGCACTTCATTGGAATTTTATCTTTATTTGCTTTATCAAGTGTCATATTAATTGCATTTTATATCCCCACTCTGTAAATCTATCACAGTTTCTTTGTTTAATTTTCTAGGTCAATTAAGCTAGTACAAGTTCATTGAATAAAGTGAAAAGTACTACTGTGTTGGGTTTTTTTTAGTAGTGTTAATAATAAAAGCTGTCAATAAAGATAATATAAACAGGATCTTTAGCTGATGTGTGATGACTGATTTCAGAGCGGAAAATATCGCCTTACACATTTTTCAGGAGATTTCTATTTATCAATATCTACTGTTAGCTTAATAGAAGTTGTGTTCTTTGTAGCTAGATTAGAAAATTGAAGTGATAGAGTAAAATACACACAGCCTTTGAACACTGCTGTGTTCTCACTGTAATTTTCTATGCCCACTCCTACATGTAAAAACTAGTGTGCTACAGTAGGAATGTGTGATTTCCTCTACTGCTTTAAATGCTTTTTCAAAAGCAAAACTGTGAATTATTAAAGTTAACCACACCATGCCAAAACAGGAGGAAGAAATGCAGGAGTGTTCATTATGGATTTATTAGTGTATGAAAACTTTGACTTAGCACTGACTCTTTTTGAGGCCTATTGATGTATGAACTTGTTTCATCCAACATAATAGTTGTGTATGTTGTTCCACCCTCATGCTCAAGGGTATTGCTAATAGCACAGCTGAACTCAGTGGGGCTTCTCATCAAGTCATGTCTGTGAGGGTGGAGTGTCTTGCTCCGAGTCTTGCATTCAGATTCTAAGTTTGTACCTGTCCCCAGTCTGCACTACTGTCAGCTCTCTGCTCCACAAGCTTTCTCTGGAACTTCACATGTTCTTTTATTCTTATCCTGATCTTACGCTTCCCCTGTCCTGTTGAGTTAAGCCCTTCTGAGGTTCTGCTGCCTTTGTTTTTTACTGTTTTTTCACTAAACTAGGTGTTATTTTTCGCTGAGTGTCAGTCTTTAATAGGCTAGCTTTCACTTGTCGAAGGTTTTCAATAAAACTGAGGCATTCTGATGTTTGCCAGGACTGTTGTCAACCTGTAACAATGCAGTTTGCAAGCTATCTGTCTCTGTTGTCATTTTCCACTTCTTGTGTAACTTCTTACTGCATTTAAACTGTTCTAGTTTCAATTGTTGCAGCTTTCTGCACATCACCATAAACATCTTGCACAATCTAAGCACAGTAGGGCCTAGAGGCATTTCTAGGAGATTTAAGTATTACTTGTGAATGTTTTTGCAACCAGGCTCGTTTTGGTTCCTCAACATCTTGATTTAGATGACCAGTGAATATCGTCTCAGTCTCTCAAATCAGGATCATCGTACAAGTTTTGCCTTGTGGATATCGTTCTTCTGGTTTCAATGTGGTCTTTCTCTTTCCTAAATAGAGCCATCACACTGGAGAATCAGCTAGTCATCCTTGCAACATCAGTGACCGATGCAGGAGGCTACTATGTCCAAGCTGTCAATGAAAAGAATGGGGAGAACAAGACAAGTCCATTTATTCATCTCAGCGTAGCAAGTGAGTATCCAAATTCCAGAAAAGATGCTGCCATAGTGAGGTTGCAGACAGTGTTCACAAGTCTGCCCTGATAACAAGAGCCTTGGTAACAAAGAATCGGATCTTTATAGTAGCTCAACTTTTCCTGGCTGTTTTGGAGTGCATCGAACTCCTTGTGCAATGGGAGGGACCTGGGAGAGTATATGCCCTCGACAAATCACCCTCAAACCCTTTTGTCTGATGGTGTATTTTGTGCAAGGCAGGTACATGATGATATCCCTCGCTGTTTATTCTGAAGTTGGGATCATAATTCCTTTTTAATGCAGGGGTTTATAATGTATTGTTTTCCATTGTGCGTAAGTAAACAAGTCACTCTTCTGAGTGCAATTTTATTAATGAGTCTATTCCCAGTTTATGGCATTATTTTTACTTGGAGTTATCACGGAGTCCCAGGGAACATGCATTTCATTGCTATTACTTATTATTTTACATTGCACAAATTGTATTAACACCTGCCATTACAGAGACAATCCATGAGTAGATTTTACGGCAAAGGAGGGGGGGACAAGCAGGAGAGCAATGGGGTCAGAAAGATGACTGCACACTAACAATACTCGTGTGCACATTCAGCAAAAATATGCATGTGTAAGCTATTGTAAAGCATTTATTAAATGTGTTTGTGTGAAAAGTTAATATTCCAAACATGTAGGATGGTTTGACTCCTTCCTGAGGGCTTTTGGTAAAGGTGCTTTTAATGCAGCAGCAAGATAGGGAGTAAGTTGGTCTGTTGAGTGAATGTGGAGGTTTCTGTTGCTGACTGTAGAGACAAGGGACTGGGTAAACTGTTGATGACACTGGCAGCTTCACTGACAGCCCACCCTTAGGGTTTGTGCTTCTAGAAGATTCAAGGCTCTCAGCTCTAGGTCAAGCAGCATGATGAGATGCCAAAGATCTCTTCATCTTGGATACTCTTAGATTTCAGACAATCCCTACGGCTCCTTTCCTTACAATAGCAAAACTTGGGAATCTGGGTTTCTGGGTAGGAAATCTGGAAAAATGCTTTTGGAAATATGCTTGTGTTTGTTAGAATTTCATCACAAACATTATGTTCCTGTGAAAAAAAATAATTTCTAAGAAAGTACGATTTTTTTCTGCTATATTTCTTAATCGAATTTCAAGGAAAACGTTTCCCATGTGAACAATGGAAGCCCTGTTAGTGGCATCAGGGGTCACTGAGGGCAGAAGCAGAGAGAAGAAGGGACAAACCTGTCTTTTCTTTCCAGATATGCTTATAAACGAAATGAACTTCTCAGGGGTTTTATGTGTATCTTTCTGAAGTGGAAATAATATTCCAAATCCACTTGTGAATTCTGGCTATACTGTCGCATGTAGATTGTAAACATTATTATTTCTGACAGTATATAGAGGTTTGCTAACACTTTAGTAATTTCATTTTTAAAGCAAATTTGTATTATTTATATTATGTGACCAATAATATACTTCCTACTTTAATTTCATATCTTAATTAATGCTAGAAATAGTCTGTGATCATGCATGCATAACAAGTGCTATGCAAAGCAGAAGGTAATACAGGCATATGGGAAAGAAAACACGTTAAAATGCGTACAGACTTGATGCCATGCATGCCAAGTCTATCCGGAATGTGAAAAGTAGGAAAGGTTAAATGGATAAAAGAAAATGAAAAATGAGGCAAGATGGAAAGCCAAAAATGGATTTGCTTGTTAAAATGAGTATTAGCCAATGAGGTTTTTAAATTGATGTCTTGATATCCAGGAGTATTAATGCTACGTGTGTGTGGAAGAAAGGCACTGGCTGTAAGGCATTACAGTGTCTGTAAAGAAAATGAGATTAACATGGTCATTCTGAACTTTGATCTGAGGAAGAAAACTGTGTGATACATTAGATAGAAGTGAATAAACCTTTCTGGTCCAGTAACAGAACATAATCAGGCAAAAATATAGTCCTGAAGCAATATACGGAGAATGGTTGCAGAAAAATGATGTGTTTTGGAAGGGTAATGAAGAATTCCAGCAAGTGGTTGAAAACAGGTTGTTTAAAGTACATCCAGGTATGAAGGATATCACATGGAATTGTCACTGCCTGAATCTGATCGGATGTTAAGAGTGATGACACTTGTCACTTTCCATTAGGGCATGTATAAAATTTAAAAACAGTTTAATCAAATTCAAATAAACCACAAGCAGAGGGGAATATCCAATCTTTGTACGAGTAGATTATATATTAATTATTGAGTACGACCTTGCTACATGACTCAGCATGCATATTACTGCTTTTATCGAGGGCAAAAGGAAAAAAATACAGATAAATCCCAGGGCGGTCATCCACTGAGAACAGTGTTAGATATGCATAACTTGTTACTCCTTGAAGGATATCGGTGTCAGACTTGCTCCAGCCTGTAGGAAAAGCGCATTTGCAGAATCAGTCTAACAGCCGAGAAAGCTGTGAGCTGTCCCATTCTGGTCTGGAATGCAGGACTGACGGTTGGAGAAAGGTGTAGCCCTGAGCTATGCTGGAGATGAGTTACAGGGCCTCATATTGCAGATTAAATCAATGTTGAGTTGTGGCTGAAAGTAAATGAAGTTTGAGCGACATCAGGAAAGTACAGTAAACTGTTCTTTGGTTAATAACTGTCTTTGATACACGTTGAATAAGAAGATCTGAAGATGTTGAATGTGTTTCAAAACTTGAGTCAAAAAGCCTCAATCGTGTTGAATTCTCCAGTAGGGCTCTGAGGATTAAAGGCCATTAGTTTCTTGTTAGTCTGCTCACTGAGTCCCAAGCGCTCCAGTAGGGCTCTGAGGATTAAAGACCATTAGTTTCTTGTTAGTCTAACCTATAGCTCACTGAGTCCCAAGCAGCATGAAGGCTCACATCCACCCATCACCCTCTGATGACAAACATTATGTGTGGAAGTTGGAGAACACCTCCAGAGGAAAGCCGCCTCCCTTGTCAGGGCTGCTTGTGCTCTGCTTGGGTTTGCTCTTCTCTACGTTCTGAGGCTGGTCAAAAGTATAAAATGAAAATGTAGGTATGAGAATGCCTGTGTTTAATGAAAACTAACAGATCTTTAGCACATCCTGGTGTTTTCAGATATGCACCCAGTATGCATTATCGTGATGGTTCCTTCCTTAAATACGCTTTGCAGTAAAACTGTACTAGCCAATAGATATGGTCACCCCAGGAGAAAATATCGAGCAGTATTTTTCCTTAAAAGCCAAGTCCTTGGCTTGGTTAACCACCCAAGTTCTGCATGCCTGCCCTCTAAACCCGTGTGTCTTAATTTGAAAGTCTTGGTCACAGTCCAACTGTGCTTGAAAACAGTGGGGTCATTCCTTTCAGGTGGACCTGTTTCCACTGGTTTCAAGAGGATTAGATCATCTCTGAGGTGACAGGCTCCGATGAAATAAAAATTATGTCCAACAGGCAGCATATTGGGAATAGCATCACATCTGAAATTAGTATGGCATGTCATAAATTAGCTTTAAATTTAAAATATCTCAAAATCAGTTGTACCATGTATGAAGCTGATGAAAATATTGCCTTTTTTTAACCATATATGCCAGCTTTCAGTGTAAATAACACACAGTTTTGGCTAAGAAAACCAGAAAATCTGAAAGTCAGGAGTTTGGCACAGCAATGGTAACAAAACTCAGTTTGGCTTTTGACTCAAACAGATCGCTTACTCCGTTTTGAAAGTTCACTCTTAGTGTGTTGGATGATTTCAGTATGAATTCCATTGCTGGAACTTGCCAACTAGAGCAGAGAGTTGTGAGAGTTAACATGTCATTGAGCTGTTGCAAGCATCTTAAGTGTAAATATTACTTTTTAATAAAAACAGTTGGGGAAATCCTTCATGTTCTTCCCTGTTTCCATCTATTCAGCAATAGAATCAATGATATCTTCAGCTGATCCTTAATTCTTTACACTTTCGTGCCCGTTCTCCCACAGATAGACAAACACCACAGCACAGATGGTTGGATCTCTTCCTAAAGAGTCTGCTTGTCAGGGGAATAAAGTGACATGCTTTTGATCTTACCAGTGTTGGCAGGACACTTAAAGATCAAAGTGTTCATTAAAGTAAGGCCATCTTAAAACTCTTATTTTCTTGAAGGCCACGCTCTGTGTATCAGCTATGTTTCTCTGAAACTCTTTTTTTGTAGTATGGAACTTAAAAACCCGACGACTGATACAGGGTACTTTGCTGCAGGCTGTGCCACTTCTGTTTGAGGGTGTTTTCTGGGGGAAATGGGGAAGCAGGGGGTGTTTAAGAGTGTCTTAATGAAACCGTAAGTGTTTCTAGTATGTAAGTCAAGAGTTTAAGAAATACTTATTTTCAAGGGAAGGAAAAAAGAAGGGATTCATAGGGAGCTTTTTATTACTGTAAGGAGCTGGCTGGCACTGTTCACCGCAGCATCCGCAATGCGTGCCCTTGTTACCTTATTACACAACAACGTGGCACGACTCTGGTGCTGCCGTAGAAGAAGTTCCGAAAGCCCTGCCAAGACCTTTCTATTATTAGCTTCAAGGCATCACGGTGGATGCGAGCACCGTCGGCCTGGTCTTAGGAACTTTTGACAGCGTGTACTGCCGGTTCAGACCTTAGTCGATGTATTTTATGGGAAATTTGAGGAAGTGTCCCCCAGTAATTTATTTAAATGGCAAGTTTGCACAAGGTGGGTATGTGTAAGCTGTTGTGACACCTTAGGTACTCCTGCTTCAGTTGGTTTTGCAGCTCTAATCATCTGGAACTGTAATTCAGGGCTTTGCTTCTGGACCTTCTTGTTAAGCTGTGAAATACTGAGATGCATGGTGCTTCAGTAGATTTTTTTAGTAAATTAGATAGTCTCAAGATGTATTCATAACACTAGGAGATACAGAGTGTTCTGCAGGCTGACGTCTTTTTCTGATGCAGGCTTTGTAAAAACAGAAAACAAGATTGATGAAAATTTTAAAAACCTTGCCAGCCAGCATTTCTGAAG